CCCCCCCCCCAGCATATCCTGGTTTTCAAGTACCCCAGCAGGGATAGGGTTAAATGCTTCTTCATTAATAACTGTACCTTATAATCTCAGTAACAATAAGGAAAATATCATGGGTACATTAAAACAGATCAAATCTACCAACTTTTTCTCATTTCCATTTTTTTTAAACCCCTTCTGTAGAAAACTCGAAAATAGAAATTCATACCTTTCAGATGAATAATAACATAAGGATATCATTGCTTAGCCAAAGGTTTTGAGTACTATTTTAACTGGAAGACCACTGGAAATTTCGTAGATTGTCTCTTTAAATAAATTATTATCAATATATTATAAATTAGAGTTCTGCCAGCTATCTTGACCTAGAGGGAGATACGGTTCATAATGCTTCTTATTGGATAAATACACCGAGTACAAAACCGTACATAACAAGGTATGTGATGATGTAATAGTATTTACATAACAAGGTATGTAATGATGTAATAGTATTTAGTATTTACATAACAAGGTATGTAATGATGTAATAGTAATTAGTATTTACATAACAAGGTATGTAATGATGTAATAGTATCTACATAACAAGGTATGTAATGATGTAATAGTATCTACATAACAAGGTATGTAATGATGATATAGTATTTACACAACAAGGTATGTAATGATGTAATAGTATCTACATAACAAGGTATGTAATGATGATATAGTATTTACAAAACAAGGTATGTGATGATGAAATATTATTTACACAACAAGGTATGTAATGATGTAATAGTATTTATGTAATAAGGTATTTAATGACATTATAGTATCTATGATGAAATAGAATCTACATAACAAGGTATGTAATGATGAAATTCTATCTACATAACAAGGTATATAATGATGTAATAGTATCTACATAACAAGGTATGTAGTGATAATATCGTATCTACATAACAAGGTATGTAATGATGAAATAGTATCTACATAAAAAGCTATGTAATGATGAAATAGTATCTACATAACAAGGTATTTAATGATGAAATAGTATCTACATAACAAGGTTTGTAATACTGTAATAGTATTTACATAACAAGGTATGTAATGATGTATGAGTATTTACATAAAAAGGTATGTAATGATGTAATAGTATCCACATAACAAGGTATGTGATGATGATATAGTATTTACATAACAAGGTATGTAATGATGAAATAGTATTTACATAGCAAGGTATGTAATGATGTAATAGTATCCAGACAACAAGGTATGTAATGATGATATAGTATTTACATAACAAGGTATGTAATGATGAAATAGTATTTACATAACAAGGTATAAAATGATGAAATAGTATTTACTTAACAAGGTATGTGATGATGAAATATTATTCTACATAACAAGGTATGGAATGATGAAATATTATTCTACATAACAAGGTATGTAATGATGAATAGTATCTACATAACAAGGTTATAAGTAATAATGAAATAGTATCTACATAAAAAATGCGCAAATTTGTTTATGAAACTTCGCAGAGCACTGGTATGGTGTTTTACTAATTTTTCACAATGGAAATTTTAATAACTAAACAGCCGGCTGTTGGGGGAATCAGGGATTGGTAATGTTGGTCAACATTGTTAAAATTTGAAACATTGGAGGTTTGACATATTTTTTTCAGCTTTTAATATAATCTAAATTTTAAAAATAAATAAAAAACAAGGAGTTGCATCTACCTGGGTTTTGTTTTGTTCGGAGGATTAAGGTTGATAAATGTTTAATGTGTTTTAAAACTTTCATTTCATCTTGTGTAAAAGAAGTTAGTTGAGTAAACAACTTCATCAGCTTTTCTTATTTGTAGAGACTGAAACTTTTTTACTTACAGAGGGTTTGAATTCGTATATATTAATTGCAGAAAATGCAAAACTGATTTATTCTAATTTGTTTAGAGAAGTTCTAGCCCAGGACCAGGAAGGATATCTTCAACCGTGTCCCTCTAGCTCGTATATGCCAATGACACGTCACCAATCAGCTGACGGATATCCAGAAAGCAGAAAATCTCCCAACGCATCAGCTGCAGTTTCAGCTGACTGTTTGAGAGTACACGGTTACCTAGGCGAGGATGACACTCAAGACCTAATTGATGAATACCAGCAATCGATTAATGAACAAGCCACTCTTATTACCGAAGACAGTGTGTTTTTCGAAAGCTCTTCCCCTGTCAGCTTCGAGTTTTCTGACTCGAAGGTTGGTTCGAGTGCTGAGAAAATTGTTCGATACACAAAACTGTGCTCTCATCATGTAAACTCGGAAAAAACGATACAGGAAAAAATAATTTTTGATTATCACAAAAAATCTTTCAATGGCAGCAATGGTGTGTACTTTTACTGATATTATCTGGTTTATCGTTCTAGATTTGAGCATCTATATTTTAACGTTGTAAAATCTTAATGCCATTTTTAATCAGAGTCTATTGTTTCAATTTCAGATTAAGTCAAGAAAGATACACTTGGAACCATCTAAACTTTTTTTAAAGATAAGTGCTTCTGAATGAAATGTCAACAAACTTGGTGTGAGCAGCACAAAGTTTGTTTACGTTACGATCGTAGAAACTGCTTTACACATTTAATGTAAACAAAGAAATGCGATGCCTGAGCCCAAAACTTAAGACAGGGTATCGTTAAGAAAACCAGTTTAGAACCCGGGTTTCATGAATGGGGTTAGGCAGTTTTGAGGATATAAATTTTGTGATATGAAATATTATTTTATGTAGTTTCTCCATATTCTCCAGTTTTTTCGAATCTCTTAAATCAAAATCTACACAAATGTTAAGACCCCAAAAAGGAAACTCGGGAGTTTCGTTAATGATACTTTTTCTTAAATTTCGGGCTCTGGTGCATGCTTCGCAAGAGTAAAGCTATTTTCAATTATTTTATTTTATTCTTCAATCTTAGTTAAATATTTGTAAATCAATTATGTTTTGTAAACAGGAGGGAGATCAAATAATGGAATCTAATATTACTTCTGATTCCATTTCACCACTGCTACAGACTCCACCAGCCGTTTTACGAGCAGTTTCACACCTTCAACTCCATCTTAGTCCAACTAGTCAATCTAGGATTACTACTCCAACTCAACTCTGTCCTAGTCCATCTAGTCAATCTAGGAGTACTACTCCAACTCAACTCTGTCCTAGTCCATCTAGTCAATCTAGGAGTAATACTCCAATCCAACTCAATCCTGGTACATCTTGTGAATCTAGGAGAGCTACTCCAATTCAACTTCGAGCCTTAACATCAACATCAAGTAATCAGATATATCCCGTGTATGGGGATCAAGTGTAGAGACACAAGGAGGGGGATTTACAACACCTCTCTCCCCTTCAACACGTGTTACTAGTAAAACTGCTCTAAGCCATCAAAATATTGTTAATTTTGAAAAAAATCCCATTCCAGCAATTACTGCATTTTAATCTGTTCTCACAAACATAACTATAATCATTGTTATATAGATTTATGGAACTGGTAGACGTATACTAATATATGATATTAGATTAAAAATTAAGCTTTCCCGATTAACAACGGTATCGCTTAAAGGGACTGTAAAGGAAAAATAAAAAGGGGGTACAGGATGAAACCTGAGAATCACTGGCGTTGAACGATTGTCACGTGATACAGACGGAAATCATGTGACCAGTATACTGCACTGCCATTGGCCGAAGTTCTGGTGACGTAATACGGACTGTGAGGACTATATTTAATAGTATTATCAATTATATCTATTAAAAGTGCAAAATAAAAATTAAAAAATTATTATAGGAGCAAATCTGAGATTCTCAGGCTCCTGTGGGATGTCGTCGTTTTTAAATTGTTTGCGTATTTGTTGAATATGATCTGTTTAATACTACAACTTTTATACAGAATTGCATATATGAATTTTCGTATAAATTTGACAATTTCAATTTCTCGAGACAGGAAAATCAGATAGATGTCTTGTATATATCGTTCAACGCCCGAGATTCTCAGGTTTCATCCTATACCCCCTTTCATTTTTCCTTTACAGTCCCTTTAAACCTTAGTCTAAGCTAAATTATTCGTTTTTAATGGCTTTTTAATCATGCCAATTTCAGGCCAAAAGTTAAATTTTAAAAATCATGGGGTATATCTTAGATTTGTTTTACCCATTATTTCAGACTGAGCTGAAAACTTTAGAATGGGATATCCTTAATCCTGATCGGTTAATTAATCTGGAGATTAATAACATGAGGAGAATAAGCCAAATTTAATCTGGAGATTAAGAAAAAGAGTGGATTAAGCATTAATCCTGATATCCACAATTCAAAAGTTCCCAGCTCTGGTCTGTTATGCCTAATGCATTAAAAACATTTCAGAAAATTTATTTTCAAAGTTGAGGTTTGAAAAGTTAAAAATATAAGCCGCTTTCTGTTATGGAGATAAAAAAGTTTTTTTTTCTGCAAATATAACTTACCAATTAAAAATATACTCCCCAAAACTTTAGAATTAAAATAAAACATCCTTTATCAAAGACTTTGTGCAGCTATACTAGTTTTACACTAATCTGGTTTGACTAATCCTGTATAGCTATATATATTTTTTAAATATTTTAGTTTTTTAACTTCACGTTTTTCAAAACAGAATTATACTTAACAAACTTTACGTCTCACGACGATCCTCAGTAGTCAAAATTCTTTGAACATATTTATATATTCTAAATAAAATAGCTGTTAAAATGAATATACATATTGTAAAAAAAGAAAGATGTGTGAACTGGACCACTTATATCTTGTTTCATATTTTCAATTGTTTTTTTTTTCTTTCTTCTTTTCTCTCATATTTACTTCCTCTTGTCGTTTTCACTCATTTTTCTTAAATCCTTTTCTTTCTCTTATTTCATCCTTCTTTTATATTCCTTCCCTCACCTCATCCCCACTTCCCATTCCTCACTTTATCCATCCCTCACCTCATCCCCCCTTCCCTACCCCCCCCTTTCTTCACCTCATCCCCCCTTACTGTTTTTGTTGTTAAATCTGGAAAAGAAAAGCGCTTGTACACTGCATGAATGCCTGGAAAACGGTTGTATATTTGATTATCTCGTATTTGGAGTAATCCATGTTGTCTACATTACAAATAAACCCTCATAGTTCGCCCATCGTGTTTCAAGTGCTGTCAATTAAAGGGACTGTAAGCGTAATTTGAAGTGACGCTCCATGAAAAGACAACAAACCCTAATTCACAACGGTACCCTGGAATAATTTATCTGATAAAGAATGCGGAAGATATTGTCGTTTTTCCAGGTTAAAAAGTGCTTCTGTTTTTCTGCAGTAGAAATACGCAAGTCACTTTTGTAGATAAATCACAATTTAAAATAATCAGATTTTATAAATACAAACCTTGATATCTCATTCATACTTTATCAGACAATTAAAAGGAATGATGATGTCCCTTTCTGTAAATGTCTAATTGTTAAAAATTATGAATATTCATGATTTTATTTTAGTATTTATAAATATAAGTGTATATATTTTATGTAATAAGTAGAGTTCATATAAGTGATACATTTTTTAGAAAAAGATTTTAACAAAAAATGATTTTCTGTTCCTTTCAACTGTTTATATAAAACTAAATATTTAAATATTACCTAAAATTTTAAACACATTTTGTATAATCACTAATGACAAATTCAGGTTTGAGTTTAACTTCAAAATATCCCGAAACTTTTTTAATTGAAAGTATAAATAGATTTAAAATGTATTTAATCAAATAATCGATATTTTCATAAAATGTTAAATTGACTTTCTTGCTACTCCGTCGTTGTAAAATTAATGTACAATAAAAAGATTTAAAACATTTTAAAAGTTATTTAAATATTATAAATATTCCTTACTTCCGAGTCCTTACTTCGTACTACCTATACAAACTTCATGTTGTATTTGAAAATTAAAACACGGATTATTATTGTTTGTTCTTATTTATTTAAAAATGGTTAGTTTTGGAACGTTTCTTGCCAAAATTTTCGTTCAGAGTCTAAATTGGAATAGTGTAAAAAAATGTTTATTTTTAAAAACGGATCAAAACGATTGTATATAATTTCAGTTTATGTTTCTGACCCATCTCCAAGCATTTTATTTTCTCCATACATTCAATATCAAAAATAAATAATTTGTCTGATTATATATTTCCTTTACCGGAATTCTAACATTTTTAAGAAATCAAAATTTGCTGAAACCGTTTTTATAGTTTTGATTAGATTGGTTTAGCAACTTTGAAGTTTACGGTTTATTGGATACAAACGAATATATGAAAACGATGACATTAATTTTAAAAATGTCTTTTTAAATCAAAATAAAACAATTTAAGCAAAAAATCAAGCCATACTCTTAAAGTATATCAGCTTTCGGCTATTGAGTCGAATTAAAAGTTCAGAGCTGAAAACTTTAGAATAATGGATATCAAGATTAATGCTTTTAAACTCCTGGTTTTACTTAACCCAAGATTTTTTTAATACGCATTCGATATCCAAGAAAGAATTATATAAAATTCAACCAATCAGCGTATCATGTTAAGATGTAAATTATGTACTCTTTACCTTTTGAAAACCAGGTTTTTTTCTGGTGTTAATTGTGTCATATCAATTGACCTAAACATCGTCTAAATAAATGCAAATTTTGAGTTGATGTTCGATAACACTAACGTTTACAATGATAACAGTCCTAAAATGTGATAAAATATATATTTTTAATAAGCACAATATTTGCTTAAATGTTTAAAAGCCGGCTTGTGAACATCTGACTTTAATTCAATCGGATATTAGTTCAATCGATATAGCATTGTATCTGTAAATGTTATCAAATGTAAATTTTATAAAGTAGGGATATCCAAAAAGAGGATTAAGAATCAAAACAACGTGTGTAAATTGATACTCAGATTAAGCGATCAGGATTTTAAAGTTTTCAGCTCAGGCGTAACCTCAGACAAAAGTTCTGACCTCATTTGAAACTACAAGAAAATTACCCGGTTAAATATTTTTACCGAGAATGAAGGCATGTGACGTCACGTTCTTATTTACTACACACAATACAGGGATATGATGTCATTTTCTAATTAACATTGCAAGGCTATGACGTCACGTTCTTATTTACTACACACAATACAGGGATATGATGTCATTTTCTAATTAACATTGCAAGGCTATGACGTCACGGTCTTATTTACTACACACAATACAGGGATATGATGTCATGTTCTAATTAACATTGCAAGGCTATGACGTCACGTTCTTATTTACTATACAAGGATATGACGTTGCGTTCTTATTTACTAAACAGGGATATGACGCAACGTTCTTAAAAGGATATGACATCACGTTATACTAAACTTTGTAAGGCTATGACGTCACGTTCTTACTTACTATACAAGGATATGGCGTTGCATTCTTATTTACTAAGCAGGGATATGACACAACGTTCTTATTTACCAATCATACAAGGATATGACGTCACGCTCATATCTAATAAAAAGGGATATGACATCACATTCATATTCACTATATAAGGATATGAATATGACATCACATTCTTATTTACTATACAGAAGATATGAATATGACATCACATTCTTATTCACTATACAGAAGATATGAATATGACATCACATTCTTATTCACTATACAGAAGATATGAATATGACATCACATTCTTATTCACTATACAGAAGATATGAATATGACATCACATTCTTATTCACTATACAGAAGATATGAATATGACATCACATTCTTATTCACTATACAGAAGATATGAATATGACATCACATTCTTATTCACTATACAGAAGATATGAATATGACATCACATTCTTATTCACTATACAGAAGATATGAATATGACATCACATTCTTATTCACTATACAGAAGATATGAATATGACATCACATTCTTATTCACTATANTATAGATAGATAGATAGTTAGATAGATAGATAGATAGATAGATAGATGCTTGCTTTCCCTACTACCTGTCAGTACTGCTCTGACCTGCCTGCATTATAAGCTCACGAAAGGAAATCTTCTAAAAAAATTATCAACGGGAAAATGTTGTATAGATTCTCATCAAGGATTTGAGCCCATCTGTGATTTACTTTTAGATATAAACTGCCATTGTGTACTTTTGGATTAGTGCAGTGCTGGACAAAGCATTTTCTAAATCTTTGTAATTAAAAAAATCTTTTAAAAAAGAATCCCCCCATTTCAATGTCAATACTAACATTGCAAACTAACCGATCAATAAGTTTAAAAACGCCAATTAGGGTCAGATTTAATGAATAAGAGAAGCAGTTGAACTACGTAGACAAAACTGAATCACTTCTTCTGAGCTTGACCTGATGCGCAAAAGAACTGTATGAACCGGGTGAACATAGTTCAACTATTTTTATATAGTTCAGTCTTTGTACAAAATTATAAAATAAGAGAAATACGAAAATTTTGTTATCCGAAGTTTGAGTTTAAAGTATCACAGTTTAAAACTTTTAAACTTTATAATCTTTTCAGTCTTTCTGATATAATTTTTTTAATACTTAAAGAGAACGTCACAGAAAGGTAATTTTTACAATGGTAAGCGATTATATCAATACAATTAAGACAAATTTTTTATTTAAGTTTTGAGTGTTAACAAGCATTTTAGCGAATTATAAATTTACAATTTTAAATCCAAGAGAAGCTTTTTTAATTGACAGCTTCTCTTGACTTCTTTGTTTAAATGTATCCATGTTTAACAGCTTCATTTAAATTAAATTTTTAACCGAACGTCGTCTTCATTGAATTGATATAATCGCCTACCACCGCAATAAAAAAGGATTATCAAGAAAAGATGAGTCTTTCACGAAACTCTTTAAATATAATTAAGTAAAATTGTTAAAAGGTCCAGGGAACCATAATTTGATGGTAAAAGCCCATGCAAGGTAAATACAATTTAGAAATCTTCTCAGTGAAGTGCAGTACGCGATCCGAATACAGTTAAGTGCAGTACGCGATCCGAATACAGTGAAGTGCAGTACGCGATCCGAATAATCGACACCGACCCAAAGAGGAAATAATTTGCGAAGGTAATTAATAAAGTTTAATTTTATCTAAAATAGATTGTTTTAATTTTTATTTCTTAAGAAATGTCCGCAGAAAGCCAAGAATCAAGTAATGATGGAACTTTGAAATTTGGCGGGGAAAAATCTGTATTCCAAGATGGATGCTCTGTAAATGAGGAAGAAAATACGAATGTTTCTCAAAAAAATGTTCAAAAACCAAAATATCAACGCGAGAAAAGTTTTCTAAAATCCGGCAAGGTAGGAACGAAGTGACCTTCTCCTTAGTTAAGAAATCGTCGATTGGAAATTAAGATGTGTTTTAATTGACACAATTCAAAAATACTGGACAAGTTGATGCTGAACAAAAACTGTATTTTACGGTTTAAAAATCTTGTTTTTTAACTTACAGTTAAAAACATACATTCAGTGTTTTCACATTTTTTTACTGTTAGATACTTCTTATCTTTCATCATTCAGATCTTATATTTTAGATTTTAGATTTTAGATTTTAGATTTATATTTTATACGCCCGAGATT